GATCGCTCATACTATAATAAAGTTACCCCTATTTACTATGTATTTTAAACAAAAGTTCAGTATCTAAACTGGAAATTGAATAAGATTACAGACATTTTAGTTAAAGGGAAAAAAATTTATAATAGTATTTACTCAAGGCTTAGGGCAATACCCACCCACTTTTCCCTGTTTTCAAAGAGATCACCCATGTGCTACCCAACTGTGTATTTTAAGGTTAAACGAAAAAATTTTTGAAGGAAGAATGAGGTACTTAAGGTAATAATTGAATTATATTCAGTAAACAATTTTGATGGATAAATATTAGTTCCTTTTCTGGATTATCATTTTATTGTAGTTTATCTCATCTGGGATTAGACACAGGTTCTTGCAAATAAATGTGCAGTTAGGAGTTTTTTGTGTTGTAGACATTTGGTGGTGTGGTGAAGATTTAACAGTGGTGGTTTTAAGTGCACAAAATAAAATATAGTACAAAGGAAGCCAGTTAATGTTGAAATAGTTACAAAAGCATTTTTAAAAACAAATTTCTAGTGGTGTGATAAATATGCTTCTTTGATAACTCATTGAATAGCAGTGTCCAATGGTGGTTCTTAAAACTGCCATAAATGTGAAATAATAAGTATCAAAAGTACTGTAAGATATCTGCCTCGACTGCAACATGTTATGAAAATATCCATGATTTCTATTGGTGACAAAGTTACAGGTACTGTTTGTCACTTACATTTATAATTAAAGCAATTGCTAAAATTCTGTTAGAATGTAGTGAAAGTAAAGATGTAATATCTTTCCAATTAAGTTCACACAGACCATGAAACTGTCCACAGATCTTTTGGAGCAACAGCCCCAGGTCAAAAGAATTCTGACGACTAAGTAGAGAATGCCTCCCCAGTGCTACGCACAGTGCTGGATGCTGGAAAGCCAGATACATTGAGGAATTAGTCATGGTCCCCATTCTCACTGATGTCCAGCCAGAAGGGACAAGTAACTGACTGGTATGATAAGCTACAGTGGACCTGCCAGTTAGTCTCAAAGTGGACAGAGATTAAGGAGAAAGGAGGCATCAGAGAACAGATGTGAATTCATGATAGGTGGACTTATAATAAGCCATTCTTCCATTTTCCCCGCTGTGCGTTGAAACAAAAGCAAAATGATCAGATGCAGTTTGATATACTTACAAACAAAATGTGCTAGATACTCTCTGTATAGCATAAGAATCCTGTGAATATTTTGCCATAGACAAAAAATTATTTCGCTTCCAACACAATAGCTGCATTTTTCAGTCTTAGAATAGTCATTACCTTTTTTCTCCTTTTTTCCAAGCTTATTTATTATCATTTATTACATTAGATCTACTTATGCCTATGGTTTTGCCAACATAGCTATAAAAAAATTATTTTTAGAGATTACATATTGTTTTAAATATACTTTTCCTAAGATAATTTTAAAATATTTTGTTTTTCAATGCATCTGCCGTCTTAGTATTTTCATTGTCTTCTCTTTTTTTTTGGTGCAGTGTGACAAATGGTGGGAAGACAACATTGGCTATGAATTTACAGAAACACCTCCAAAACTGCAGTGTCATATCTCAGGATGATTTCTTTAAGGTACCTATAAAACTTCTTAGATAATTTATTTAACACAAAACAGTTCTAGTAGCAGTTAATTATACCCAAAAAGCCTTTCTTGAGTGATACAGCTTTTGCAGGAAAAATAGATGCTGTGCAGTAGTACAGTATATCCACTAGATGGCACCACTTGTCAGTGCTGCTGCTTTGATTTTTACTTTACCTCATCATCCAAAGCTTTTGTTAGTTTATGGCCTCTTCATTCTATAGTTGTATTATTTCTGGACTGCACGGTTGTGATGGATACTTTATTATTTTTCCAGCCAGAGTCTGAGATAGAGATAGATAAAAATGGATTTCTGCAGTATGATGGTAAGTCTATGAGCTTGTAAAACATGTACTAATGTTCATTTTCAAACCCAAACTAACTTTGGTATCTATGCAGATGGTCTCAAAATATGTTTAACTATATTGCTGTACTTTAAACCTGCTTTTTAAAAGGTGTCTGATTTAAGTTCAACTATTTAAATAATGAAACCTTTTTCCCAGGGTATTCTGTTCTGCTCTGCTTGAGGCATATGTAACTGACTGCACTTCTCTCTCCTCTCCCACCACTTGCCTGGAGCAAAGTCTAAGCACATCCTCTGTGCTTACCTTCCCAGTGACCAAGGTGTACTGGGCAGCAGTCTTTTCTATTCACTGCTCAAAAAGGATATTTTTTAGATGGATTCATCTCCCTCCCTTGCCCAATCTAACACTGCTTTAAAGCCAAAGAATTAAAGCCTCTCAATATACTTATTTTCTTGTAGAGAATATCATGCCAATAAACTATATTTAATGGTCTTAATCAACTTCTATGATTAACAAGATGATCATTAGTGGTTATGCAAAGTAACAACAGAAAGAGCTCTCTTAAAGAGCCACAAAGTATGTTCTTTATTTTTAACCTTGATAACCTTGGAGGAAAAATGTTGTGTAATCAGTTCTTAATGTCACATGATAGCTTTAGGAGAGGTAACATCCTGTGTTCTCATGTTCTTGTGTCTTGAGCTGCAGCCAGAGTATGTTTTTCTTCTCTTCCCCTCCTCTAAAGGTTGTAAGGAAAATTATTCAAAGTAAGAGTTAAAAAGGAAAAACAGTTTCAACAATTGACAAGAATTATTCTTAATTCAGATGTTCTTACAAACTATTGAGAAAAACACTAATATTTCAATTGAGCTTAAGTCGATCTAGTTAATAGTTTTGGAATAGGGCTCAGAATTTGTATTTTTGATAAGTCCCCAGATGATGGTAATGCTGCTGGTCTAAGTAAGTACTACATTTTGAGAATTACTATTATGGGATATTTTTCTAGGATACTTTTCTGGAATTATAATTGTAAATTCAAAAAGTATACACATTTTAGAGTCTGAACATGACATAGTTGTGTCCCTTGTAAATTGTTTTATAATTTCCCTCCTCTCATTTATCTGTAAGATCCCTTTTTATATTAAAGATTGCAACCTTTGCCAAATACATTGCAGATATTTTCCCCAATGTGTCATTTGTCTTTCAAACTAATTTATAGATATTTTGTCATCCAAAAATGTTAAACTTTTGTGTAGTCAGTGGAGAGTAAAATTTACAAATAAAGCAAGATTAGCCATGAGTTTACAATGGTCAAAGCTGGTAAATTACTGAGGACATGGGAGTTAACTGTGTTCTCTACCTTTGTATATATTTGAAACTGTCCATAATAAAAATGTTTCAGACATGCCAATTTATCAATATTAGAGTTTAAATTATCTAAAATATTTATTAGGTATTTTGAAGGGTAAATAAAATAGCGTTTTAGTACATATTTATAGAGTTCTGGATATACTCATCATAAAAAGCCCCCATTGTAAAACTTGTGTTCTACTAATTTCGTGTTTTTGCATGTTTGTTTGAAGTGCTTGAGGCGCTCAACATGGAAAAAATGATGTCCGCCATTTCTTGCTGGATGAAAAGTCCAAGACACGCTCTGGTAGAAGACGGGGGAAACACTGAGGAAATTTCCATATTAATCATCGAAGGTTTCCTTCTCTTTAATTATAAGTAAGCATCCTTGCTCTGATATTGACTCTGAATGAATGGGGAAAAAACCTTTGTGAACTAAATATGCTGTTATTTTAGGCCACTTGACAGTCTATGGAGTAGAAGCTACTTTCTGACCATTCCATATGAAGAATGTAAGAGGAGGAGGAGGTAAATTTTGAAATCACCTTTATGGATTGTGATTTAAAAGACAACATGTTGGAGAATTTAGGAAAACAATATTAGTAAGCAATGTTTACATGTCTCTTTCAAACAAGGGAAGCCTCAGCTCTTCCACACAAAGAGCATACTTCCACAAATGATCATTGACATGAAATAACACACATTACTTTTCTCAGAAAAGGCCCTTATATAAAAAATAGTTGGCTCATTTCTCCTAAATCTTCAAATGAAGCGATTCCGCATTTATTATGATTTTAAATTAGTGGGCCTATATTCTCCTACCGCACACAGAACACCAGTTTAAAGCTTAATCTAATGTAGCAGTTTATCTATCACTGTTTACATTGATATTTGTCTCTCCATTATTTTATTAGGCACTAAAGGGGAAAAAAGATAATTATGAATGATAGTGACTTACGAAAATTAATTTTTGGATCAGAGAACTAACTCCATTTTACTGTCTCTGTAACTGACATTGGATGGGTAGCCTTAATCCTGTTTAGATTTGATTTCTGAGTGATTTTGCCATTATCCTGACCCTTGTTATTTTACTTTATCAATTGTGTGTTTCTGTCAACATAAATGTTTTGCCAGTACGAGGGTCTACGAGCCTCCAGATGTCCCAGGGTACTTCGATGGCCATGTGTGGCCCATGTACCTAAAGCACAGACAAGAAGTAGAGGACATCCCATGGGAAATTGGTAAGTGCCTTTTCTCCCTCCGTGAAAGGCCTTTTATGTGTCATTGCCTCAAAGTACACGAATGAAAGGACTTTTGGAGACATTTTTCTCATGTGTTGCATTATAAAGGGACACTTGAGCCAGAACACTCTGGGCTCGCCTCTTCCATAACTGGGCCTTCTGGTTTTTGTTTTTCTATAGCTCTTGTTGAATGCTTGCCAACTTCTAGATGGTCATTCATGTAACAGACAATTGAAATCCTTCTGTGTACAAGGCACTGCCCTGATCACATCAAGGGAAATAAGGCAGACCCAGTCCCTGGTCTTGCGAGCCAACATTCTACAGTGCATCACACTAAAGACACTGGCTGCATGAGCCTGTCCTTTCTAGCTGTGCGAACTGCTGGGACCCTGAGCTTGGGGACTGTCTGAGTTCCAGCAATCAGGGAAGCCTTCCTTGAGGAAGCAATTGTTAAACCACATTCTGACAGGTTTGTTTGCTTTTTTAATTTTTAATGATGCCATGTCTGCAGCCAAACTTATCCTCAGATCCCAGGGCATGGGGCCTGGGGCCCATGAGCTTCAGAATTTGCTGTGGCAGCCATCTGGGCCACCCCTGGTCACACAGAACGGGTGACAGGTTTAACTGTACAAAGAGAGGTGGGTTGGGAGTATAGAAGATCACCCCAGTCAGTGGGTATGGTACACAAAAAAAGGCCAGGGGAGGGAAGGAATGAGCAGCTCCTGAAAGAAGGTTAGTGTGCTGTGGTAGAGAAAACCAAGAGAGAGGTGATGCTGGAGGTTTGGGAGGCCCCAAAGCCCGCAAGGCCCGCTAACATCCTGGTTCGTTTTCCCAAGAAAAATAGGAAGCCATCGTCAGAGATGTTTTAGTCGAGGACAGGTAGATATCAAACTTGTTTTAGTAAGCTCCCTCTGGCTTTGTGGGTATGTGTACTCAGCAGAACAAGGTGATAGACTGACTATGGGGGGTGCAGGAGGTTGAGGTGTCCAGGACAACACCCCAGGAACTGGCAGTGTTACTTCAGAAAACAGAAAAAAGTGAAAGGGTTGCAGCTTTGTAAGGGAGGGATGGAAGTCTGTTTTGCACATAATGAGCTTGAGATGCCTGAGACTAAAGTAGCCATTAGGGTGTAAACATCTGGGTCTGTGAGCCCAGCTAAAAACAGATTGCTGGGAAATGGAGCTCAGCTTCTCCAGTACAGGAGGCTGGAGAGAGAAGGCTGTTGGATGGGGTAGAGGAATCAGATCTGACCTATACTGTTCTGAATAAAGGGCATTACCCCTGTTGTGAGAAGCCCCTTGGCCTCCAGGGCAGCTCTGTCAGAGCCATGCAGAAAGTGCATGGGGCGTACCTACCGTCCAGCTGCTCTTTGATCTCTTCTTCAGTCCAGCTCAACCCTCCTCCCCATCCCCAGAGCTGCTGCTACTGTTCTGGCCGGACCACTTCCAGCTCACTGGTTGCAGGGACATCCTCTTCTTACTGCTCTTCTCCCTCTCCATCTAATTGCAATCTAACCATGACCCTACTTTGCTTAAAAACCTTCAAAGCTAGAACAAAAAGACATCCTACAGTATGGGAGAATATATTCGTAAATGACATATCTGATAAGGGGTTGACATCCAAGTTCATGCACCTCAACAAACAAAAAGCAAATAAGCCAATGAAAAAATGGGCAGAGGGGCTGAACAGATGACACTTCTCTAAAGAAGAAATTCAGATGGCCAACAGGCACATGAAAAGATGTTCCACATCACTAGTCATGAGAGAAATGCAAATTAAAACCACAATGAGGTATCACCTCACACCAGTTAGGATGGCCAACATCCAAAAGACAAACAACAACAAATGTTGGCTAGGATGTGGAGAAAGGGGAACCCTACCCTGCTTGTGGGAATATAAACTAGTTCAACAATTGTGGAAAGCAGTATGGAGGTTCCTCAAAAAACTCAAAATAGAAATACCATTTGACCCAGGAATTCCAGTCTTAGGAATTTACCCTAAGAATGCAGGAGCCCAGTTTAAAAAAGACATATGCACATCTATGTTTATTGCAGCACTACTTACAATAGCCAAGAAATGGAAGCAACCTAAGTGTCCATCAGTAGATGAGTGGATAAAGAAGATGTGGTACATATACACAATGGAATATTATTCAGCCGTAAAAAAACAAATCCTGCCATTTGCAACAACATGAATGGAGCTAGAGGGTATTATGCTCAGTGAAATAAGCTAAGTGGAGAAAGACAAGTACCAAATGATATCACTCATCTGTTTAGTATAAGAACAAAGCAAAAACTAAAGGAACAAAACAGTAATAACAGACTCACAGAACCCAAGAATGGACTAAAAATTACCAAAGGGAAAGGGACTGGGAAGGGTGGGTGGGAAGGGAGGAATAAGGGGCATTATGATTAGCACACATAATGTAGTGGTGGGGGGGGAACATGAGAAAGACAGTATATACAGAGAAGACAAGTAATGACTCCATAGCATGTCACTACACAGATGGATGGTGACTGTAATGGGGTATGTCAGGGGGACTTGATAATAGGGAGAGTCTAGTAACCATAATGTTGTTCAAGTAATTGTACATTAATGATATCAAAAGAAAAAAAAATCGTACTAGAAGGATAAGGTATGTTCCCCAAATTCACCTCATTCCTTTCTCTGAGTATATATGGGATGAATTAAGATACTTGTACATGCAGCAATGAAACTCTAAAACAAGTTAATCTTTAGTATCTAAGATGGATCTTGTCTAGAGAAATATTAAACTTTTTGGCAGACTCAATGAAGTTTTGATCATTAAGAAAAAAAAAATTTCAAAGCATCTACAGCTCTTCAGGATTAAATCCAAGACCTTCAATGAGTAAGGCACAGCCTTGCTCTAAAATCTCATCTCTCCACTGTCCCTGCCTTCCTACATTCTACCCTTCCCGAGCTGCTGCTTTTTCTTAACTAAGTTCTCTGCCACCTCCCTATACCCACAGTTTCTGGGTATAAAGTACTGTCCTCCTTTTAACCTACATCTAACTTTTCTCCAAAACTGACTGTGCTAGTTTTGGTAAAAATACTTGTCTCCTGGCCTGGAGAATTTTGATTAAGCATGTGTGGCAGAACCCAGACGCCTGCATGGTTTAAGAAGCTTTGCAGGTAATCCTGAGGCAGAAGGAAGTTGGAGAACTGCTCCCTTAAGTTACTCTTTTGGGGAGGCACCTTTATGGTGCTTCCCAAAGTGCTGTATGCACAGTGCTACTTAATTCCCTTCCTTCCTTCCTTCCATCTTCCCTCTTTTTTTTTTCTTTAACATTCTCACTGATTTTTCTCCCTTCAGCCATCCCCCCACCCCTTTCCCCTTTGGCAACCACCCCTCTGTTTTCTGTTTCTGAGTCTGTTTCTGTTTTTGTTTCTTTATTCATTTGTTTTTTAGATTCCACATGCAAGTGAAATTTTATAGTATTAGTCTTTCTCTGACTTCTTTCATTTGGTATAATAATACTCTCTAGGTCCAGCCATGTTATCCAAGATTTCATTCTTGCCATTTTCTGCTTACTGCTCCTGTCTGTAATCTATTTCTCTCTCTAATGGCTGTTAATTTCTTTGTAAGTTACAGTCCTTGGTTCTTTGGTTAAACCCATTGGTATTCTCAAGAGATGTCAGGTGCCAGAGTAAGCATCCTATATTAAGAAGCCTGTTAGCATTTGAACTGCTCTCTTTTCCCTTCCTCAGTTTACCTAGATGGAACAAAATCTGAAGAGGACCTCTTTTCACAAGTGTATGAAGATCTGTTACAAGAACTAGCAAAGCAAAAGTGTAAGTATTGTCCTACTGAAGTAGATGGTGAAATAGTCCATCAGGCCTTTTTCCAACAGCCAAGAAAATAGTCCATTACCTACCCAAGAATACATACTAGTATGCTAATATGGGAGTGATTATATCCATTCATTCATTACTTTGAAGGTAATTCAGAATCACAAACTCTGGATCAGTTTGGGAAATTGATTATTTTGTTTGTGAGTTTTTTAGGGTAAAAATTTGTACCCTTTGTTATATTTCTTAATGATATTTATGTTGTTTATCTTAAATTGTTTAGTAGGTGGCTGTTGTTTCAATGGGACTGAAATTATCCTTTGGGCAAAGTGAAGTTAAAATGCTAATGATCTTGTTTAGAATGCCCTTCTCCTTTATTCCTCTTAAAGGTTGTCCATGAATCTGTGTTTTCCAAATACCTCAAAAAATTAATACAGCATTTTAAAAATTAGTTGAGTGCTTAAGGTTCTCATATTAGATGGCACATTTTGCAAGTGACGGAAATCTCCCTGTATTTGGTTTAAGCCAAAAGAAGGTCCAGGGGTAGCGGCTTCAGGTGCAACTGGATTAAGGAGCTCAAATGTGATCGTTAGGGCAGTGCCTCAGTTCTTCTTTCTTTTTGGTTTTAACTTGAAATCAACCTCTGTCTACTGACAGACATGATATCTCTTGGCAGCACCATCCACCTAAGTCCAACATCCCCAGTGAAAAAAGACAGTTTATCTTTTTTCAAGATTTCCCACAAGCTGGTAAGTCTTGAACCTGGGTGTTGGGAACAAGGAGCTTATATATTATTATTACTACTTTTATGTATGTTTAAATGCTTTATTTTAAACAGCTTTTTAAAAAGCATTTTTCCATTTTAGACCAGCCAAAAAGTCCGAGGGAAGAGTTTAATTGGTCCTGCTTAGGTCAGGTGTCTTTTGCTAACCCAGCCACTGTGGCCAGGGAGATACATATTCTACTCTGATTGGCTAGGACTGGATCAAGTAGTCATAATTGAATACCTCTCCTGGGGTCTCATGATTTAAAGGGAGAAATTCCCCAAAGGGGAAGCAGGACAGGGAGTAAAAACCATACGAAGGATGAAAAAGCATGCTGGGAGAACAAAACTATAGAATAAGAGGCTCTTATATTTGAATTAGAAGGGTTTTCATGGCTAACACATAACAAATAAAATCATCAGCTAGCTCAAGAGAAGACGGCATAAATCACTTCTTCAGTGAAAAGTATTACATGCTTTTGAGAAGCAACTACCCTTGTTCAAATGTCATCATCTCAATAAGAGATTTCCTTTGTCCTCATAAATTCCTATCTGACCACAGGACTTAGCCCAGCCAGGCAGCCCATTGATCTGATCCCCTGAAGCAGAACCTCTTTTTGGAGCATTGTTGGCACCCTTTCTGGCCCTGAAGAGATACTTCCAGGGGCATTTCAATCTCTGGTCATCTTTACTGTTCCATCCTTTCACTAATAGCCAGTGCTCAGGTCCACTTCTCCTTTAGCAACTATGAGCTACCTTATGATCTGCCTGCTGATAAAGATGAAAGAAGCCTTGATCATGTAGCTCAGGCAAATCGCAGCTAGCTCCAAACCAAATGCCAGCTTTTGCCATCAGTTACAAGGCCCAAGAGCAGCAGGTATGTTTTGACAGTCCCTGAAAGCCCACAAGAAAGCACACTTCCATGTGTGTGACAGCCTCCTCTTTCCTTGCCTGTGTACTACAGGCTCTTAAGGAGTATTCAGCTATGCCTGTTCAGGTCTTGCTTGTGTTCTAGATATTGTATAAAGATAAAAGAGAAAACAATAACAGAAATGTTAGAAGTGCCAAAATCCAAAGCAGATCAGCTTTTCCTACCTCCATGATTTATGTTAGTTTTTTTTTTCCAGTTACATAAATAAGTTATGGTGTTATTTATAGTAACCCACCACCTTTCCCAGTTCTTCCAACCACAGTTTCCTGGCAAAGCCAGCCTAGAGGGATCCTTAGCATAGCCTGGTTTAACCCATAGTTTGGGACTGAGCTAGCTGGGAAACCTTTCAGATGTTTCAATTGACTATTCTTCAAGCTTCGCATAACATCTCGTAACCCTACTTAACTAATTTTCCATTCTAAGTATATAAAACTGTAATTATGATAAAATAATAACAGTGAAAGGGAAATAGCAAAGATTGAATGTAATTATTAATGAAACAAATAACCCAGGAGAGTAAGAATATAAAATATGTTTAATCTTTATTTAAATCCAAAATTTGAGGCTAAATTTAGTCATTCCCTGTTCTCACTATAATAAGGCAGTTTAGCCACCAAGAACATCTGAGGTCTTTTGAGAGTGTTTATTTTCCTTGTGGTGCTTTTCTTTCTGGCATACTTGTTAAGTTTTCAAATAGGCCTGGCTCTGCTGCATGTATTATATATACATCCAGTGTTTTTGCTAGTCATATCAGTCTTTCTTTTACATGGTTACACAGTTAATCACTATTATTATTTCTTTTTTTAAACTAACATTTAATATTTAAGCTGCTTTATAGAGTTCATTATGTAATGAAACTGAATAAAACATTAGCTCTGCCAGTTAAAGGAATCATGGCTGATTCTATTTTTCTCACTGAAAGTGAATTATAACACTAGACATTGACATCTTAGTGCAAAGATGGCATACATCTAGTTTCAAATCAAAGGAATAAGAAATTGTAAAATAAAAATCTAATCAAATGTTTTTCTTTTGGTATTTTTCTATAACAAATTTAATGTTTAAAATATAATGTTTAATTTAAAGTAATTATCTAGATTCACATAATGTTCAGAGTAACATAGAATTCTTGAATCATTTCCCAATTGTTGATTATTTAGTGTTGTTACAAGTTTTTCACATTATATCATGTAAGTAGCATGATATAAAAATATCCACACAAATTACTGGTTTTTTTCTTGAATCACCTATTAAAATTAAATATAAAAATTGAAAAATTTCATAAGTAACACTTGCTTGATCAAAGAGTATAATCATTTTTACTTTACATACTTCAAAAATTAAATACTATACATACTATACAAAATTAAATACTATACAAAAATTAAATACTATACGTATTTTAAAAATTAAATAAATACTGTGTAATAACAATGTGGTAGGTTTATCATTGTGTTTCTAAGCCAGAGTCACCATATATTCAGCTAGACTTCCTTGTTTTCAAAAAAGGAACTAAAGGTAACAGTGCTCTTGCCCCAAATCAAGGATAACATTCCAAAATAATAATTTTGCTACAGCCAGCCACCCTGTGTGATATTATCCTTATTCTCAACTCTTTCATTCTTTGAAGCCAACAATTACTATGCCAACTCCAAATAACATTGGATATTTGACCTCTTAATATAGACTTAAATTTAAGGATTGAAAGAAGGAAATTTGGACTCTTAGTTCTTTATGAAAATCCAGCATTTCTGGGAGGGAGGAAAATGATGGCAGAGTAGGAAGGCAAGGCAGAAACTACCTCCCACACACACACCAAGGAAGCACCTACAACAAATATAACTAAACCTGAAAAAGACCTGAAGACTGCAGAACAGACCACCTAACCTGGTAAAGAAAGAGTGGACCACACTGAAAAGGGAAAAGTGGCAGAGCTGCCATCAAACAGGACCCAAGCCCTTCCCTCATCCCAGCCCATAGGCAGGAGTAAGAATAATGGAGCAGAGCTGGGAGGGGATAGGTGCTCAGGTACTCTGCACACCCAGTCCCAGAGATCTGCTCTGGGAGCACAAGTCCACAGCTTCTGGGGATCAGAGGCTCTGGGAGGCTGTGAGACTCCAGCTGCTTGTGGAGGACAGACAAGTTCAGCTGGTCCCACTAAAACCCAACACACAGGCAGCAGTTTGAAAGAGTTAACCAACAGCAGGAGGGGTGCCAGAGGCGCAAGGGTTAGACAGAGCTCTCTCCACAGGAGAGAGGCCAGTGGATGATACCTCCCCAGCCCTCCCTCAGCCCAACAGTTTGGGAACTCACAGGAGCCCCAGATGCTCCATCCCCCTCACTAGGAGCTCATCCCCAAGGCACTTCCCTGCACACTTCTGGTGCACGAGCCCACTCAGCCCAGCAACATCATACTTTGTATCCTGGCAGGCAGAGAGAGGCACCCGCCAGAGCCAGCTCCAAGCACTCCTCTCTCCATGCAGGTGGCTAAGCCCAGTGCTGACTGAGTCGCTACCATTGTATGCCTGCACAACTCATTGCTGTAGCATTCCCTGCCAACACATGACTCAATTAGCACAACCATCCCGCACACCCCATTAACCCAGCAGCTCTGTCATTGCTGCAGGGCAGGCAGAGGGTGGTCCTGCCCCACGATGGTCCCAGCAGAAGACTCTGCTCTATCACAGAGGGCCAGCTGGGGCAAACTGCTGGCTGCAGTGGACTGAAATAGACCACCGCCAGCAGACAGAAAGGCAGCCCTAGCCATTGTCCACCAACAGCAACTGGGGCTCCACCATAAAGGAGAACCAGACACTGGAGAGTACAGAGTCTTGAGTCTCTAGGCACCACAGGACACCTTCTTCATAAAGTCATTACCCTCTAGACTAGGAAGTGTAGCAGATCTACCTAATTCAAAGGAACAAACACAGAGTCCCTGACAAAATGAGGAGGTAGAATACATTCCAAACAAAACAACATGATAAGACATCAGAAAGAGGGCTAAAGGAACAGAGATCACCAATCTTCTTTATAAAGATTTCAAAGTAACAGTCATAAATATGCTCACTGAGCTGCAGAGAAGTATTGAAGGTCTCAGGAAGGACTTCAACAAAGAGATACAAGAGCTAAAAAGCCACTTAGAGTTGAAGAATACAGTAACTGAAATATATACAATAGAGGGGATGAATAATAGATTGCTGCAAGTAGAGAAGACAATCACTGAGATGGAAATTAGAGAACAGGAACACAACAAAGCTGAGGAACAGAGAAAAAGAATCTCTAGGAATGGAAAAACAAGATAGCTGTGTGGCCAATCCAAACAAAACAATATTTGCATAATTAGGGTACCAGAAGAAGAGAGACAAAGGGATAGAAAGTCTGAATAAATAATTGTTAACAAGTTCTCCAGTCTGGGGATAGGATACTCAGGTCATGGAAGCTGAAGACAGCCCCTAAAAAAAGGAACCCAGGAAGACAATACCAAGAAATATAATGATTAAAATGACAAAGATACAGATAAGGAAAGAGTATGAAAGCAGCCAGAGAGAAAAAAGATATAATTAGGGAAACCCCATCAGGCTATCAGCAGAAACTTTACAGGACAGAAGGGAGTGGCATGAAATATTTAATGTATTGAGACAGAAGGACCTTCAACCAAGAATACTCTGCTCAGCAAGATTATCATTCAGAATTGAAGAAGAGATTAAACATTTCCCAGATAAACAAAGGCTCAAGGAATTTATAACTACCAAACCAGTATATTACAGGATATGTCAAAGGGACTGCTGTAGATGGAAATATTCCTAGGCCTAAATAGTTTTCACCAGTGAAAATAAACCCACAGTGAAGGTTGTAGATCAGTTACTTACCAAGCAAGTACAAAATTAAAACAAAATTACAGCCAACTATGCACAAAATCAGTCAAGGGGTAACAAAAAGTGCAAATTGTGACATCTAATACTTAAAGTGTGGAGGAGGAAGAAGAAGAAGAAAGTACTTTTAGTTGTGTTTGAAATAGAGTAATTAGCAACTTAATATAGAGTGTTATAGTGTCAGGAAGCTATCCTTCAATCTTATGGTAACCATAAACCTAAAGCCTATCATAGATAAGCAAAAGATTAAAAAGAAATCCAATCTCAACACTAAAGAAAACCATCAAATAACAAGAATAGGGTATAAGAGGAAGAAAGCAACAGAGGAACTATAAAAACAACCCAGAAAATAACAAAATGGAAATAAATACATACCTATCAATAATTACCTTAAATATAAATGGACTGAATGTACCAATCAAAAAACATAGAGTGGAAAAATGGATAAAGAAACAACATCCATCTATATGCTTCCTACAAGACACTCATTTATGACATACACAGACTAAAAGTGAAGGGATGGAAAAAGATATTTCATGCAAATAATAGGGAGAAAAAAACAGGAGTAGCAGCACATATCAAACAAAATAGACTTAAAACAAAAAAAGTAATGAGAAAAGGACATTACATTAGGGGTCAGTCCAACAAGAGGATATAATCGTAAGTATTTATGAATCTAACATAAGAGCACCTAATATGCAAAACAAACACAGAATTAAAGGGGGAAAGAGAGCACAACACATTCGTTTCAATAAACAGATAAACCAGATAGAAAATAAATAAGGAAACAGAGACACTAAACAGTACATTAGATCCGATGGACTTAAGACATCTACAGAGTATTCCACCCCAAAGCAGCAGGATACACATTTTTCTCAGTGTACATGGGACATTGTCCAGAATAGATCAACTAATAGGCTACAAGAAGAGCCTCAATAAACACACAAAGATTGAAATCATATCAAGCAACTTCACAGATCACAATGGTATGAACTAGAAATAAGTTACACAAAGAAAAAAAACTGAAAACACATGGAGGCTAAACAGCTTGCTTCTAAATAATCAGTGGATCAATGAACAAATCAAGCAACACATGGAGACAAATGAAAACAAAAATTGAACAGTCCAAAATTCGTGGGACACTGCAGAAGTGGGTCTAAGAGGGAAGTACATAGCAATACAGGCCTACCTCAGGAAACAAGAACAATCCTAAAAAAAAGTCTAAACTCACAATTAAAGAAATAGAAAAAGAAAAAAATGAAACCCAAAGTTAGTACAAAAAGGGACATAATATAGTTCAGAACATAAATAGAGAAGAATAGAACAATAGAAAAAATGACACCAAGAGCTGGTTGTTTGAGAGAATAAAATAGATAAACCCTTAGACTTATGAAGAAAAAAAGAGAGCACACAAAATCAGAAATGAAGAAGTTATAGTTCTGACAGATACCACAGAAATACAAGGAATTATTAGACAATACTGTGAAAAAATTAAATTATATGCCAACAAATTGGGCAACCTGGAAAAAATGAACAAATTCCTTGAAAAACACAAACTTCTAAGACTGACCCAGAAAGAAACAGGAAATCTGAACAGTGCAGTTACCAGCAATGAAATTGAATTGGTAATAAAAAATGTCCCAACAAAAAAAAAACAAGTACCAGAAGGCTTCACAGCTGAATTCTAGCAAACATTAAAAGAGCTAATACCCATCCTTCTTTAAGTTTTCCAAAAAGTAGAAAACAAGGGAATACTTCCAAATACAAAAACCAGACACACTACAAAAAGGAAAATTATAGACTAATATCCCTGGTAAACATATATGTAAAAATCCTCAACAAAATGTTAACAAACCAAATTCAAAAATACATCAAAAGGATCATCTATCATATCCAACTGGGATTTAT